TGTGAACACAAATTAGTTAGCATAAATCAGTTAAATGACGAAAAATTAGGCGTCTATTTACTTGTGACCACTCAGTGTATTTAATGCATTCAAGTTATATAAGTAACTTACAGTCTTATACGCACACGAATTTTTAGCAGATACATGGAACTATTGGGGCTTGGCTCCCCAAAATCTTGAATTATTTTGTCTGATTTTTAGAGTTATAGTTAAATTTTATAGTTACAGTTAATTTCATAGTGTCATAAAGTATGTAATATCTTAAAACGATAACCAACAATATGGCGCCGTCAGTAGTGTTATCAATATTATTATTATTATCTATTTACCTGACTATCGTCAGAAGCTATATTAGTGTACAGTTCACCACATATTGTATAATTTTAAAAAGTTGATGGGCAGTTCTAAATTACAGCAGTTTAGAGACGAGAGTAATAAGAATAAAAAAGAAGTGATATTCTGGTTAACCAAAAGGAACACAATATTTCCACAGAGCTTCTAGCTTCTACGATGTACCATTGTGGCTGTAGGTTGAGCTTCCAAAGTAAAATACTGTTTGCCACTTTTTTCGGAACCAATCACAGCACGTGATACAAATCTTATTAGGAGAAAAATACCGAGAAGACACGGCCCTCCTTTAGTTTGTGCTGAATTGTACTACTGTACGTTACAATGCGCGTCTCAACTGTACAGTTCTGAAATATCCTTAATATAGGCTGAGTTCCGTTACTACTGATAATCCATGTAGGTAATAGCTAATACAAAATGAAATATCAATCTGTATAATTTGCAAGAAACTTCAGTATTGGGACAATAAAAACACTGGCTAGACGACGTCCTTGCTGTTTAGAAGTTATTATATATTCAAAAATTTGGGGAAATAAGTTGAGTCACCAATGCACAAACTGTTACAGAACTATGAAACGTCATCGTTACTTTCTGTCCCCCAGTGGCACAGCGGTATGTCTGCGGACTTACAACGCTAGAAACCGGTTTTCCATACCCGCGGTGGACAGAGCACAGATAGCCCATTGCGTAGCTTTGTGTTTAACTTCAAACAAACGTTACTTTCTGTATACTGAAGCACTAAAAATATTCAGAATTAATACTGTGAATGATAAACAACGGATCTTTGAGCTATATGAGATGTTCTGTGGCGTTAGGTGTAGTGTTTTTTTATAAAGAGCTGAAAGTTTCATATCATCACGTGATTAGTCTTAAGTTTCTTAAAATGAAGATATTGTAGTTTTAATGAAAGTGTTACTTAAGGTTTTATTCGGTGTGTTACGGTGTTTAAAGACTGTGAGATTTTAGAATAAGTACCAGTGGATTTACTTGTGCTTCGCGTGTGATTTATGTACAAAAATTATCTGACTACTGAAACATTGTTTAGGGGGGGGGGGGATAATATAGACGAGATTGAATCCTCGATCTCCTGCATGCGAAGCGTCTTCGGTGCCATATGAGCCAAAGCCAAACGTTTTTTTTCTTTTCACGTATGCAACATTATTAAGTGGGATATTATATACATGAGAAGGGTATGTGTTTTAAAGTAAATAAATCCTTTAATTAAATGATACTCTTGTTGTATTATGCAGTTGAACATCAATGAAAAAAAAACTCACTAAGCAGAATATGGAGTTCTTGTATTTAGTTTTAAGGTAAATAAGTCTAAAAACGTGAAATGACTATAAACGAAATATATCCCTGTACACAACATTTTTTGTATAAACACCTTGAGGCCCCGCATGGCCAGGTGGTTAGGGCGCTCGACTCGCAATCAG